TGTTATTTCAAATGGTAAAAGATAAAAAACTTACAATTTATATTTTTATAAGCTGCCATCGTGTCTAAGCTGGAATTTAATACTTAAAATTGTGATTAATTCTGTATAATAATGAAGCGAATATAGTTTTTATATAATTTTGAAATATGTTTTCCTTGAATTAGATAATCTATGAACTGTTATTATATTTAATTGATCTATACATGCAATTAACGTAAATTGTTGAATAAATTAGCTTTGCTAATTTATAATAACATATAATATATCCGGAGTTTTTTTTTTACTTTAGTTCAATAAACCTATAACATTTAATTATTTGTAATACATATAAAATAAATTTTTTATAAGTATTTTGTAAATATTTAGTAAGAATATCGAAAACATTAAATATATTGAATAAACTGTCTTAAGCGGATGGATAACCATCGTCGGTCAAATTTTGTTTCTTCCGGAAGGGGTACCCGATTAGGTTGATTCATATAATGATAAAAAAACTTGTTTTAGAAAAATTGTCAACCCAAGAGTGATATCTGTAACTAGAATTTTTCCTCTATCTAAAATATAAATTTTTATATAGTCTAAATGAAGAAACTAAATGAAAATCTATTTGCAACATGTCTCTAAATAATGAAATAAAGGTCAAAATAATCAGTTGCATTTAGTTTTCGGCTTCTCCAACTTTTTCATGACGTGTGGAGGGATTTTATTTTTTAAATGAAAAAAATAGGTTATACTTGTATTAAATAAACTGATGAAACGTGACCCTTGAAATAAACCAATGATATAAACTGTGTTGTTCAGTTCAACTCTTATTAACCTTACATATACCCTTTACATATACCCTTACATATATTAAATTCTGGAACTTAAATTAATTTAAGTTTGCATGAATTATTATTTTTATATTTTAAATTAATTTTTTAAACATTTTCAAATTGATTACTGCGTCATTTAGATACAAATACGAGTGATTCCAAACAAGTCCATAAAAGCATTAAAATTCTCGAAAAGTTTTAAATTTGCAATTTATCAAAAGGTCGACAGCTTTTTCACGTGACTCACTTTTAAAAGGAAATTAATTTGAATATAAAATAAATAATTCATTTAAAGATAAATTGTAATACATTGTAATAAGTCATTAGTACAAATTTGAACTTTTTTTAAAAATATAATTTTTTATTATTAGAAATTATATGTTATTATATTTTTCGCAGAAATGTATAGTGTAAAAATATTAATGAGTCAATTTTCCATTTTCTTTTATTTCTAATAACTTGTAGGAATTTTTATTTAATTCTGACGTAACAGCGATTGAAAAAGCCCTTATTCTAGATATCGTAATACTTTCACTCTTGAATATTTAATTTACTTTTGATTGACTGATTGACAATAATTGCTCACTTATTCTGCTATTAGAGAAAAATATAACTTTGAAATCAATTCAAGGCAAATACATATTAAAAAATTTTTTTGAACAAAAATAAAACAAATAAAAAAAAAATTACTTAAAATTAAAAAAAAGAAGAGTTCTGTTACAGAATTTTAAAGGTTTTAAAAACACTTGAAACGAAGGGTGTTTTAAAAGTTTTCAGCCAAATAAAGTAACAATTTTAAAGTAATAGTTTTAACTGTATTCACTTTTCCTTTCTCAGCTCTAATTCTTGAACCGTTCTAAATACTATTTATCACCTTATCACCTTTTCCATTTGCAGAAACTTTAACCCTTTGAGCTAATTTTTCAACTATAGAGGCAAAAATTAGTCACTGGGGACAAAATCCGGTGTTTAAGTTACGAATAAAATAGTACGACATACAGTTCATGATTATTATCCATGATGACGGTCGATGTGTATATTGTTGTATTCTATTGGTTTTGGCATCTTTGTTGATTATGTCTTTAAATTTATCAAGTCATAATGCATAATACATTTCTAGCTGGTAACTGTTTTTAAGATAGCCTACGTAATCCAAAAAAGAATTAAGCATAATCTTTCTGGTTAATAAATTTCGCTTACTTCTACTTCAGAGTTGCTACTATTCAGAATCTGCAAGTTGCTCAAAGTCAGAATCTCCGAAGAAATGAACATGAATTTCACAGTTATGAATCATATTTAATTCACTGTATTAATTGTAATATATATTATTTGGACTCAGGAGAATTTATGTTTCAACAGTTATGGATCTATTAAAATAAGATATTTTATTTACCTTCACAATTCTAATAGAGCTTTTTAAAGTCAATTGATTTTGAGCCCGCAAGTTTCCAGTTATGCTTTAAACTTCAGGCAAATATTTTATAGTCAAGACAATCTCAAGCGTCATGATCCCAAAATCCCATTACAAAACTAAACTAATATGATTTTGTTTAAGACATATAATGGCGCAGGGTCTCAGTACATTTAACGCTGAATTGAAATGAAAACGATAGAACGAAAAAAAATCATTGATTATGATAAAAGTACACACAAAACAAAACAGCATAAAAACATAAACAACACAAGTTCAATCTGATTACTAAATACTTCACAGACAAGAAATATATGCAATTGCTTAATGTTTGAATCAGCTGATATAAGATTTTTTCTACGTTTGCATCAAGAAACCAAAATTTAATTGGTTCTTACACTTCCTTCATTTTTACTTCGGCACGAATAACTGAATATAGTATTCACCATAGGGCAGTACGGGTCAGGAGATTTCTTACAGTAGAACTTATTCAGTCTCTAATTAACTTCTCTAGTACTATTTTGATGTGATATATTCTGGCGCACAGTCTCATTAGACTTAATTTAATTCGGATTTATCTGTATAAATGCTCTATAAACTACTTATCCATCTTGATAAACAGTTGAGATCGACAATTTAATAAAAATAATTAAAACAAAATTTGATAACAAAAATAGTTTATATCTTGTGAGGTTTTATTTTAAATAATGGTTTTTGGAATTTAAATAACTTTTTCTCTATAAAGCATATTTTCCGTGTTTAACAGTAGAGCTTTGAAATTTACGAATACGTAAATATTAAATAATATATTAAGAATTAAAAAATATATTGGAAACCTTATGTATATATCATTTTGACCAGATAGGTGAGATATATTGACTTACTCTTGTCTATTAGTATTTTTGGTTGTAAGTTTTAACACAAATTAGTGTCCGGTTTTTAAGTAGATTTTTGTACATATAGCCTTTGGGGATGTGGTACAACTATGATTTTGAAATGACGAAAATCGGGTGACTATAACTTATAATTTTTATATAAACGGAAGAAGAAATGAATATAAGCCATTTATAAGCCAGTGCAGTGCACAATTGCCATCGTTTTGACTTTCAAGAGGAATAGTGTATTAATGTTAACAGCTTCGGTATAATAAAAACAGCAACCTGGAATACAACTTTATTTGCTTGTAATGGGAATATTTTTAATGTCTTAATTAGTCTCGTAAATGACGTTGAGTCTGTTTCTATTTAATTAATTAAAATGAAAAATAAAAGTTGTAGTATGATTAAATGTGTGATTAGAGAAAAATACGAAACTTATTAAAATATAATTGCAAGAAATAATTTAATTAAAGTTACGTATTAATTTCTACTAATTAATTATTCCAATATAGCATAACTAACAATAAAATTTACTACGCAATTCAATTAAAATATTTTTGTGAGACTACTCGGAAGGGTGATAGCATTTTATGCTTCTTAGTCATACTTTTATGTATCATTGCAATTTACATAGCACACATTTTATTTAACAAACCGTCCAAACATTTGACCTTAAACTCATTAAGAGGATTACTCAATTATTTGCTTAATTAACCACGGGTGTATCTTTAACGAAATCATTTAAAATGATTCTTGTTTCATTATTTCGAAAGAAGAAATAATGCGCAATTCATTTAGGGTTTACCCTAATTAAAAATAAAGAATAATTTTTAAAAATTGAATACGTCATAAGTTTTTTTATATATATTTTGTATATATTTATATACAAAAAATTTTATAAAAATATGCTGAAAGTTTAGTTAAAATAATTATGTTATTTTGTTTTCAAAGATGTTAGTTTGTTTAAACATTCAAAAGTTTTAAAAAAAAAACAAAATTATTATATTACAATTATATTATAATAACACCTATAACTGCGCTCCCTTATTTAATATTATTAACTTGACTCACTTAAAAATTTAGTGTAAACAAACTAATTGTCATATCGCGATAAAAATTAATAGGGTAAAGTAATTGAAGACCATATCATTTTTATATGAAATTCTTTTTTATTGATTCAAATTATAAAAATTTGTGGGAATAATCAAAATTCATTCACTCTTACATGATGTGGCCACCTTTTGCATTGATTATTTTCACGGTTAAAAAACGGTTCTGTGCATCCATACTGTCATTTTTTTAGTCCTCACCCTGCTCTCCAAAATGGCCCAGATGAAATAGTCTAGATCTGTGGACGAAATGAAGTGTGGAACACGATTTTTGAACCATTCTTTTTCATATAAGTTTTATGAGAAGGTGTTGAATCTTGTTAGGTCGTCCATGGTCTGTAACTGAAATATTTACGTGGTCAGTGCTGTAAAGCAACTACTAAAACATCTTATCAGAAATGACCTTGTTAGAATGTTCAGACTTTGTGTTATCTTCGACAATTGCTGGACTCTACTTGATTCCAATTTTCTGATCCGATATATTGAAATACAAATTTTCGTCACATTTTGTTCACCAGATCCTGTTAAAAAAATTTATATATATTTTTATGATATATGGTCTTATTTAATATATAATGTAATAAATTAAAATAAAATGTTGCAGTACTTAAGTCAAATCAACTGATACATTTGAGCGCATTTCAAATTTTTTATTTCACTTTTTTAATTTAAACATTTCTTTTTTTCCAGATTAATGTTTTCTGTGCTCTGTTATTCAAGATTTGTAATATATATTGGAAATTTCAAATCATAGTCTTTGAAAATTTAAAATCATAGAAAGAAAAAAGCAAATCAATGTCGTTCAAAAGAAAATATTATAGTGCAGTGTAGTATTTAAATCTTTGTTTTAAGTGTATCTTAATTTTTTATTTCTGAAAATAGTTAAGACACTTTTAATTAGCTTTCTTTTATAATAAATTTTATCATATCAAACACATTAAAGTATTTTATTCAAAATTAATACAAATGGCAACTAATTGTGATTACATCGATGAAGATGTTAACCCTACAAAGGGTGTTTTATCCACAACCCCTTCCGTATCATCTATACAACATGAGGAAAAACAAGATATTACGGAAAAGTCTCTGAGTAAAAGTGAAGACTCCTTATCCGATGTTTCGTATGATAATGCGGCAACGAATAGCTCAAAAATTTTTCTAACGCAAACACAGACGACGAAGGCTAATTCTAACAATATGGGTGATGATATATTTGAAAACGCATTTGAATCATCAATGGATGATTTAGAACATTCAAATATGGATGGATACGAAACAGATTCGGAAAGTGACGACGACGATATACAGAGCTCCAGTGCATTATTTAAAGAACTACGTCAATCATTATGTTTAACGGGTTTTGGTAACACAAATCTTCCGCGCACAAATTCATTCGAGTATAACAGCGATAGTGATAGTGATGAGGATAGTAATGCCAAACAAATACATTCTGCTGTGAATTTAGTTCCAAAATTTTATGCTGGAGAGTACCGTAATGATTTATTTCACACACGTCCTTATCTCTTGCCTTTTTCGGAACGACGTCGTTTATCACAATGCAAAGAAGAGGATGAAGATGATGGTGATAAGTCGCCACAAGCTTTAGGTGCTGATTGCGGTGCGCCCAAATTTGAAAAACCCTCACATTCTACACCACCGCCTCCACCACCTCCGCCAATTGTGAACGAAGCCGATGCAGCTAAATTTAAACATTTAGAATATCTGCGACAACAATTTATGCATAAAATTGATAGCATTAATACTAGTGATGTTGAGGATATTAAAACAGTACCACAGACTAAAAATATACCACCGCCGCCACCTCCACCAATACCACCGACAATATTGCCACAATCGCTAATGAATTTGCTTCAAGTAAATACACCAAGTTTAAGGCCGGTACAAAAACAGTTAGACTTAAGAACAAACGAAAAGTTAGAGAAGAAATCTGGTGCACCCATTAAACCCAAAGTAAAAAAAAATATATCTTTCAAGCAAAAAAGCGTTGATTCATCTATAAGCAATGAAAATTCTGTAATTATAAAAGGAAAATTTACTGTGACCAAAGCCCAAGAAACTCCAGAATTACCGCAACTACGTGCGGATGCTAACAAACTAAAGTATTTAGATTCCAGCGTGAATGCACACACCATAAGTTTTCCCAGCAGCTTCGGCGGCTATTCCTCAGTGCAGGGCATATTTTCACAACGTTATGGTAGTAAAAAATCTGACATTGTTGTGCCACATCTTTCCAAAAAGTACTTCGATGCATCACTTGTGGAGATACGTGCAAAATCCAACAACGATAATACAACAAATGAAAATAACCAAAATAATAAATGTGATACTAGTTTAAGTAAATCACCGAAAGATTACTTAAATCACTTAGATGATGTGTGGGTTAAGCGTTCAGAAACTCTACCCGGTAAAATGCATATGACCGATGATAGCGCTGCAGAAAGTGAACGTGCCACTGCACCATCAGATGACGTAAGTTACCAACAAATACATACATTTTTAAAAAAAAAGTGTGAATCTCAACTATCGAAAAAATAATAAGGTTAAGACAAATTTTTACCTCTTCCAAAAATATTTAATCAAAATCCTCACATATATTGCATTGTAAAAAAAGACATACAATTTTAATCACTGTTGGCATATTTTAAAAAAATTTGTTTTAATTTTTTTATAAGATAAATAAAATAATTACAAGTTTTTTTATAACATTCGGTCCCTCGGAAAAACTCAAAGAAATTTAAAAGTTCATGAAAAACTTCAAACAACAAAACACATTATTGCTGAAAATTGAAAATATTTAACATTTTATATTTTATATAGAAAAGAGTGTTATAGTCAGAAATTTTTTAAATTCAATTCTGTTAAATTTTAATTAAATGAATTAGTTTCGGAAATCGCTAAATATCCATCATCAGTGGTCTTTTGGAAACCTCTATGGTTTAATAACCTGGATGTTTTAATTATCCATATATAATTTTTGAACTGCTAGTGTATTTTTGCTAGTCAGCCCAAGAACAACTTAAAAAAAATTTTTTTTTCATATTTTAATGACACGTTTTCTGAACAATCTTGAAAACATAGATTTATAACTAAAGATGTTATCAACTTTTTTGTTTTAACTTGAAGATATATGATTAAATCAGCTATCAGATCGCTGAAGATATATGATTCAATTTATTCGCAAATACATCTTTAGAATCTGTCCCACAACCACCCAAATCGTTTTTATCGCTGACTATAAAAGCTACTTTATTATTGTTGCTATTGGATGTGGCATTGTGATTGTCGGAAAATCCGTCCTATGTGTTCTTCATGAGTTTCATCAGCACGACGTGGATCCCTTTGATACGTTTGCACAAGTATAAAAATATTATCCACACCCACTGCTAGCACTAAAAATGGAATTACTTCAACTATTATCAAAGTAGCTGGCACTCCAACGAAACCAAAAACGCCAACTGACGACACTACTGAAGCTAACACGATGATAACACCTCCAACACCAAGCGTTATTTTGCTATCAATTAATGCACGTCGCACATCTTGTACATGTCCCAACGAGATCGCAATATAAGCGAACATAATTAGATAGGATACAAGTATAGTTAAGACATCTGATTGTGATTCACGATTTAATTCATCTTCAATAGAACGTTCTGATGTAAAAGCAATATCCATATGCTTACTCATACGTGTTTTTGTATAGTTAACCATATATTCAACATATCGTTTTTCCCATTCCAACGCAGGCCTTAATTTTTGTCATGATGGTTTTTAACGAGAAATGTTAAAATTATTGCATTAGCCTGTTCATAACGTGTATTGCCTGATATCTGTTCTCCAGGTTTTAAGAAACCACCTAAGCCAATAGCAGGATCCACTGGACCACCAAAAGGTGCAAGACAAAGGTAGGGATTGTCTTGTAGGAAAAATGGTAAATATTTACTAAAGTCTTCTTCAGTGGGTCGATGGTACTTATTTTTATGTATCGTGCATCGGTCGCAAGATGTATCTTGATGAGGGCAAAAACCACCCGTATTTGGATTGTATTTACAGCAGCTCATAATTTGACTCCAATCAAAATAATCATCCATCCAGCTAGAAGCGGGTTTTGCAATATATGTTAAGTTAGAACGTCGACTTGCTAAATAAATTTGAGTTATTAGACTGTCACTGTTACAGAATTGTCCGGAACAAATTAAATTTTGATCAATTGTAGTGGAAAAATTAAGACCATTTTTTAGTACAAAAAAAACTGGAGGTCCAATATTCAGGTACTTATTTAATGATTTAAAGTAATGCAAAACAAAACTATCCTCAGGCATAGATAATTCTTGATTTAAACCAATATCGATTCTTGGTGCAATCGCAATACTTGAGCAAAGCCAACCGAAAAATACTATCATTATAATAATGCGTACTGTCTTTCGCATTAGGAAAGGCACATAAACGCTTTTAAAGAATTTGTAGAGTAAACCATCCGAGGCAAGGCAAGAAACAATGAATCAAATTAAGATTTCGTCGTTTCCATTGGCATAAATTGATTTATGCATGAAGAAGAGCTTTTGTGTGTCAGAAAGTTCAATGAAAGTTCTAGAAAAGCTTTTGTTTGTTTAGATTTCAATTGTTAGCTGATAATATTTAGTTTTGTTTTGTTTGCAGAAATTAATTAATTGATCATGAAAAACGCAGAAAATACAAAAAATTTTGTATATAATATTTATTTATTTATAAAACAAATATTTCAAAAAATTCTTACACGAAAAACATCGTGTCATGTTTCAAATATGTCAAATTTCGATCATTTCCCTTTTGGGAAATAAATTTTTCCAATGTTATATACGAAATTTTTGGTGAAATTTCTATTGATTTATTCTTAACTAAGTTTAAAAGCACAAAAGCTCTTTGTACGATTAATCACATTTCATTTGCAAACTAAATCAAATAAACTGCTTTACGAAGGCAATGGGAACATACCAAAATTATAATTAGAATTCTTTACAAAAATTTCAAATATCACTTAGAGTGAACTTTAGTATTTATATTTAGTTTTATATAAAAATTGAATAAATTTCAATTTGAAGTGAGTTAATTTCTACAATCAACCTTTTTACTTTTTTTTAATGATATCTATTTGCCACTCTATGTAAATTAAATTTGCAAATATTTCGAATTATTGCTTCAAATAATTTATTAATTTTTTTTTATTCTGTTTTAGGTTCAGAATAAATTAACATATAATTTCTCAAAATTTAAACATAACAATGAACTTAAGATAAACGTTCACTTATTTTTAGTTATCTTAATGGTCATAATAAAAATTATCTAATATTATCTTGAAAAAAATACATGTTTTGTCTAACGTGAGATTTAAAATTTTTTAACGTAACATATTTACTGTAAAATTATTGTAAAGTTTTTAAATAAATAAAAATGAAAAACTGAAGGAATTTGAACATTTGTGAGGTATACTTAATAAAATATCTATTTTTTTGAAAAGTTTTCTAATTATGGCTAAAAATAATTAAATGTAAAAATAATTAAATATTGTTTATTACAGTTTTACACAATACATTGTAATATTTTTTCTTCAAATTGTTTAATCATTGTAAAAATCATACGTGACACGTGTAATTAGAATGAGTACTCAATATTGAATCTTACTGAGACTACTATTACGTTCTGAACCTGGATATTTGCATAAGATAGCGCTACGAATGGTGTACGTGTATTCGCCGTAGTTTTGATTGGATTTGCTCCCTCTGTTAACAATATATAAATATAAACTTAAGCCGTAATTTTTTCTTTCAGAGTTGAAAAAAAACAACATTAAGTCTGGTTAAAGTAATATGGCATCACCTTTAGAATATATCAAATGGTATTTTTTCACATATGCTTTTTGTTGTGTTGTGTACAATATGAAATGTAAAAATTATAAACACTAAAAATTAATTATCTTAAATAAAAGAAAACAATGGTTAGGATTTTTATCTTATATAAATTAAATATTTAAATTAATTTATTTTAAAAATTTTTTTGAATTTATTAGTAAATGAAATCCTCATATGATTTAAACAGATGACTGGAATTTTGCAACATATTTCCAGTGAACATTCACAATAGACTGACTTTTGAATTTGGCTGCATTAAAACTTGATGCGTAAAAATTTTTGCGTGAGAAACCTAAGTCTGAATATTTTAAGAGCATTGTTGTTGCTTGAGAGTATTTTTTTGCTACTCTGAAAGAAAAAAATTTGGCTTTTGTAATGTTTATAATAGTGTGTAATATGTCTATTTGGTTGTCCAGTTGACCACTGATAGACAGTTGGTAAGTTCATGATTCGTTCTTTTATTTATTGGTATGTTTTTTATTTAAGTATTAGCTTACTTAAAGGCTCTTTAGTCTATTTGTCCATTTGATCGCTTATTTTTTTGATTTATCTATGAATTGGATTATTTGTATTTCTATTAAACAATCTATTAGTCTCTTCAATCCTTTGCTATAATTGATGATTTTTTAGTATATTTGATCATTTTTTGTCTATTTAATGAATTATTCATCTATTCTACAATTCATTTTTCTATTTGATGATTCGTTTCTCTATTTGATGACTGATGCATTTATTTGATGATACATTTTTTTGTTTGACGATTCGTTCTGCTTTTCGTATATATTGAAAATAATAAGCAGTTTTATATAAATTTGTAAATTTCTAACAGGTGACAACACATTTTGTATACGCTTATATCTATAATTACAGAATGTGGACGATAATTTTTTGGTTGTAATTTTCTTGATACAATGGATAGTTGAATATTAATAATTGAAATTATATAAACATTTACCAATGAAACTAGCTTAACATAACCGTCACTACGGCTCTTATGATATGTACGAGTATTATAATGGAATATCGCAAATCAACTTGTCTATGTCGAAACACAGATATATTGCTGATATTCGGATTTGACAAAACGTTGCTGTAGGTAAACGTAATCCTAAAACATGTTTATAGTAGCATAATGACAGTAGATTCACACAACCTGTAAATTAAATATAGAGTGTCTTTATATCGTTTATGGGGATTAAGCTGTAGTCATAGTCTAAGTCCAACTTTTTGTTCAAATTATTATTAGTTGTTATGACATATATTTCTTTAAAGATTCTTCACAGCACTATTCATTGAATATTTGTTATTTATTTTTAGTTATATGCTTCGATAACCTATGCGACATAATATCTATGTCGTCAGCATAGGTTAATATATCTTCTATAATTATTATATATCATATTATGACGTGAAAATAGTGAAATAATTTTTTTCCTTCTGATCATATCTTAAAACATTATTTTATAAAATAGGATCTGTAAATAATAGCTAATTAATTGAGGTAGAAAAATATCTGCCTATCAGCCACTGCAACCAACCATTCCTAATAATTTCTTGCTTTGACGATAATCTTTATTTAAA